TTGCCGAGTTCACGAAGTGAATTGGCTTGTTTTACAACGTCTTTGCCAAGCGACGAAAACCCAACCCCGATGGCAAACACCGGGGGGGGCGAAGAGGGGTCAAAAGGGGGATTTCAGCCCTCTGAAGAGTATCTATATTACATTCCTTAACTGTCAATTTATCCCCATATTTCGTATTTTTTAACCTATTTAGCATCCCTTCGAATCCTTTTTATTTATTTCGTCCATGTAGGTTAATAACCCACCTTTATACCATGTTAGCCCCAAATATTTACCTCTTAAATGTTAACAATATAAAGTATACTCAACATTTAAAAGGTAAATACTTGGAACAACATATTCGCCTGATTGAGAGCGAAGTATCTGATTGAGAGCGAAGGGGGGGGGGGGGGGGGGGGGGGGGGGGGGGGGGGGGGGGGTGTTCTTTTCTTCCTTCCCCAAACTACTATCTACCCCCAGGGACAATCCGGGAAGGGCGAGGAATTTCTACTTGAAAGGGGGGAAGAAACCTCCAACGATTAAGGTACATTGTGCGAGGGGAAACGAGAGCACCCTACCCATGATGCAATGTCGTCGACATGCCCCCGATTAAACGTGGTCAATAACCTCTCGCTCGATTTGCCGAGTTTTAAATGGTGTGTTCCCCCGATATTCATGCTTTTAGTAGTGCCTCTCAATGCCAAGAAGCGATTCCAACAAAAGAAAAATACAACGGCCAGGGGGGCAACTCGTGTGTTTGACATGAGCACCCCGGGAGGAAAGAAATGGTGGATTGATATTTTTTCGGAATGCGATCGATCCCGGGCGGCACAGTCTCCGATTTCCTGCATTTCGGTCAAAAAGGTGATGGGGGCGCACCCATCATTTTTCACGCCTTAGATCATGAACCATTGTCCACGCGCGCTCGAGAGGACGGGACGTTGTTCCCGCAGGACCGATCGCTGGTGGCCAATCGTTCCCTCCTACGTTGCCACAGGTGGCAGACAAATCGTTTTCCCTATCCTCTCTATGTTACTCCTGACCTGCTTAGGCCATTCCTCGTGCCCCAGTGTAGCTACCGTCTGCTGCTGTATTTCCGTGCGTCACTTCTCTGTATGGAGCCCTTTAATTTTCCCCAGCCCAATCATATGCATGTACATTTCTCGATTGTTTTGGTACGCGGGCATTCCCCAACTACCAGAACACGTTATTCAAGATCCAAGCCGCGTCCACCATTGAAGTCTTCGCCGTCTGCCTTCCCATATCTGTCTCGATCCAATTCCCCCTGTAATGCGTTTGACCTTCAACTGTGAAAGGCGATGATTGGGCGGGGGGTGTACTCATTGTAGTGCATGCCGTAGTCGTTAGACCATTGACCTCGCATCCCTGCAAAGCCGGGACGGAGCACGCCGGGTTCTCGCCGGACCAGGCTCTCACATCACCAAGCGCGAAGTGCCGTGAAGTGTTCGGCGAGTCGCATGAAGGGTGCGCTGCATCCTGCTAAGGGTGTTCGGCATCTCGTGCTTACTTCCTTGCGTAGGGATGACAGCTGCGTACGACTTGGGGGGGGGGGGGCGAGATTCCGATTATTTCCCCCCGCTCCTCCATAATCAATTCGCCGAAGGTGTGGAAACCGACATGGGTCGGCCTTCGGGGTTAAACGAATCAAGGTGAAGCCACCTCGCTAAAATACTAGAGATGATGCAAGTCGGGGGGATGTGAGTACCTTGGTCGTGTACTGTCGTGTTGTGTAGGGAGACAGGCGCGGCATACACGGACAACTCGACGACCTCGTGGCGTGCAGGCTCGCTGTTGTTGGTGACGGACTTGTTGTTGTTGCTGGAACCACGGAGCTGTCGACAGAATGCATTCGTGCACAGTCGAGGTTGCTGTGGTCGTTAGGCGAAAAGACAAGAGGTGGTTAGGATTCCACTGGGATAGGCGGGGTAGGCAACAGTGTTTATCCCTCTCCCGCTCACGAGAACGCCCCCCAGAATTCCCCTGCCCCCGCATCAGGGTTGGGTTTTCGTCGCTTGGCAACGAAGTTGTACAACAACCCGATCGCTTCGTGAGCTCGTTGACCAAGTTACGGCTGTTTTTTGCCTTTTGTTTTTTTTATTGCAGCAACGATAATGGTGGTCGAGTAGGTTGTCTTGTGCGGGGTCGCGAACCCTCACTCCGCGCAACTGGGAGGAGCGCACCGCGTTGCATGTAATTGGTCAAACGCCCTCGAGGCAGCTACACCCTGCTTACAACTGTCTCTGAAGGGAAAGCACCAGAAAAGCACCAGAAAATATATTAGGTCATACGCAGCTGTTATCAGTGCGCATGGAAGTAAGCACGAGATGCCGAACACCCTTAGCAGGATGCAGCGCACCCTTCATGCGACTCGCCGAACACTTCACGGCGCTTCGCGCTTAGTGATGTGAGAGCCTGGTCCGGCGAGAACCCGGCGTGCTCCGTCCCGGCTTTGTAGGGATGCGAGGTCAAATGTCTAACGACTACGGCATGCACTACTATGAGTACACCACCCCCCCTCGCTCACGAGAGCATGTCCCCTGAGGCCTTCATGTTTTACTCTCGACAGCCCCCTCCCCCGTGGTAGATGTGGCTCCCGGGCGTGATTTCTAGATATATTTGTCTTGTCGAGTGCCCTCTCTCCCAAGCACATCTCAGCCTTCGAACCGATCGACAGCAGTTCAAAGTTGGGTCTCCTGGCGACCAACATGACTGATGTATATCCATGTGCCCCGAATGGAGGTTACAGAAGAGCGCCACGAACACGCATCCAGGCTCAAGAGGTTCGAACTGGCGCGCTGCTCTGCGGACTGATGCTACATTAATTTTCGTTGACGTTTCCTGCCCCCTACCTATCGTGGGCCGCCACCGCCGCCGCCGCCATGCAAACCACTGGCAGGTTCTGCCAACCTCCGCCAAGGTGGCCCTTTTCGCGACAGCTGCGGTGGGTTCTGTGGCTGGAGTTTCGGCAGCTGTGGCTGGGCTGCATGTGACGGCCCGCGTGGCCCTTCACGGTGCACAGCTGGTGTCCGCAGGGCTTCCGTTTCTTCTGCGAAACGCGGAGGACGTCAAAGAGGCCGCCCAGGAGCCCGCCACTACTTCCGTCGTCATGGTATCTAGATTTTACACGCATAGTTGTACATGTTGTCACGTCAGAAAACGGGGGGTGTTGCCACTGAGGAGGGGTCGCGGGTAAGGCGAGGAAGCGCCTCGTTGGAAGAAACGGCGTTTCGATGGAGGCCCTGATGCGTCCAAGAGGTTTAGGAGATTTGCCGAACTAGTCGTGAGGTCTGTCCATGTGACCGAAGTGATCTCAGGTGTTTCGTGCACCTTATTTCTGCACGGACGCGATCAATACATGGGCATTTCGTTTTCCTCGCTCCACCGCTTTCAACTGATACATCATCCGATTGCAGTCATGACCGTGGAAGCAGTGACGATACATGAGCAAATATACCGTGAACCGGTCCGTAAATATCCGCTTGCCACACGGTTTGCGCCCCACGGAGCACTGTAGGTTGTTTGTGGAAAGCGGTGGAGGGAGCCTTTTTGGCGTGGAAGAGCATGAGTAGTTTCCGGCAACTCCATGTCTTGAGAACCAACGATCTGTCCTTATCTCACAACAGTTGGGTTCACGACTATCGCTTCATTGCTCGACTCCACCTCACCAGGGACGTGAGGTGGTGCTCTTCGAGCCCCTGCAATTCAGGGGGACCGTGTACGGCACGAGCGATCCTGGCAGCGAGACGCCGGGTGGGAAGCCAGAACGCGCTGTCGTGTCCGATACCATGGGAACATCGGCTTGGGTGCCGGAAGGCCCACCCTCGCACATAGCGGTGGG